GGAGGGTGGGTGAGTGTGAGAAGAGACCGCTAGGGGAGGGTGGGGGAGAGGAGAGACCACTAAGGTGCAGGGGAGAGCTCTACGGGACAGAAGGGGCAGCTCTATAGGACAGGGGCCAAGATAGGGAGCTCTTTCACACTACGCGCGCGCACACACACACAATGCATCCCTATACATACACAGAAACACAACATGCTTCCCTTACACACAGAGAAACACACAATGCATCCATTACACGCACACACACAATGCAACCCTTACACACAAAGACAATGCATCCTTTGCACACATACACAGAAACAGACAATGCAAACCCGTACACACATATGCAAACACACACACTTCTTTTCTTACATACACACAGAAACACAATGCATCTCTACACTCAATGCACACACATACAGACACACACCTTGCATCCCTTATGCATACAAACACAGATTCACACAATGCATCCCTTACACACAACCAGAAACACGTAATACATCCCTTATACACAAATACACACTGCTTCCACTACACACAAACACACTACATCACCTGCACAAACTGGTAACCCTATACACTACATACCATAAGCACACATATTAGATCCTCTACAATAACATATAACACATCCCCTACACACTCCACTCCCTGTGAGCGAACTCATGGGTGGGTGGAACTTATGAGTGGGCCTTATGGGCATACTCACCTTCAGGCCCTGGGGCCCAGACCTTGAGCTGTGTAAGGGGCCCCAAAAAATGGAGCTGCCTCCAATTCTCCCAGAACATTGAATTTTGTGACCACAGCTGCAAACAGCCTCCAGAGATCCTGTTCTACACCAGACCAGTGGAGCCAAACTGCAGCCCATCATCATCCTCATCTGCTTGTAAGTAGGCAATCTAGTATATTATTAGTGACACTAATCTATAATGTACCTCACATTAAAGGGACACTATAGCTTAATGAAGTGGTTCTGGTGTCTATAGCTGGTCCCTGCAGGCTTTTTAATGTAACACACACTGTGTGCAGCACTGGCGTTAGTTCATATGGCAGATCATATGGGTGGGGCATTGTGATGTGACATGTGGGGGCAGCAAATTTTTATTTTGTCTAGGGCGGCAAAAATCCTTGCACCGGCTCTGATCCTGGGCAGGTGCACCAGTCTACTGGTGACCCACAGGAGGGGATTGCACTGCACTCTCCTCCTGCCCAGCCCCGTCTTTACCGCAGTGCAAGTGCCCTCTGCCCCTAATTTACAGTGGCTCACACTCACAACAAGCAGTGCCTGGAGCCGTGAAGGAGCGGGTATGGCAAAGAGCTACTGATTAGCATAACATCAATATCCGTTATAAAACCAGGAAAAGGTGGGCATGGATGGTGAACTGATTTGGTGGTGCAATGGGCCACTTGACTGGTTTTGCCCCCCAGGCCTAAGGCTGCCAGTCCTCCCCTGACTTCGGGGTAAAGAATGCACAAGCAACTTACACCCTAAATCTTAGTGAATTAGGGATAACAACACACGAGAAGTATTTGGGAATGTTTATAGACAACAAACTAGGCAACAATGTGCAATGTCAATCAGCAGTTGCTAAGGCCATTAACAGGCCCGGACTGGCCATCAGGCATACCGGGCAAATGCCCAGTGGGCCACAATGGTCATGGGCCGAGGTCGACAGGGAAGATCAGTGTATCTCCCCTGCCGGCCCATACAGAGTGCTGGCCCTGCTGTTTGCCTTGAAGGACCAGTGGGGAGGCAAACTATCTCCCCACTGGCCAACAGGCACTGAGATGCAGCTGGGGAGGGAGAGAGGACCCAGGGGAGCTCTATCCTGCTGTTCTGCCAGGTTCCTCTCACAAGGTCGGAGCGTTGCTGCGGTTACTATGGCAATGCTCCAATCTCGCTAGAGTGATCGCTACCCCAGACACCACACTGCATCACACACACACACACACTACACCCCAAACACACACACACTATACCCCAAACACCACACTGCACCCCAAACACCACACTGCACCCCAAACACCACACTTCACCCCAAACACCACAGAGCATCCTTCACACACACTGCACCCTAAACACCACACAGCACACCTCACACAAACTGCACCCCAAACACCACACCGCACACCTCACACACACACACACTGCACCCCAAACACAACACAGCACATCTCACACACACACTGCACCCCAAACACCACACAGCACACCTCACACTACACCCCAAACACCACAGAGCACCCCAAACACACAATGCACCCCTCACACACACACTGCACCCCAAACACCACACCGCACCCAAAACACACAGTGCACCCTTCATAAACACACACTGCACCCCTCACACACACACACACACACTGTACCCCTTACACACACACACACACTGTACCCCACACACAAACACTGCACCACCCACACGCACACACTGCACCCTTCACACATAGTGCACCCTTCACACACACAATGCAACCCAAACACCACATTGCACCTCTCCATACACATGCACTCCTCACACAGACACACTGCACCCATCACACATAGTGCACCCTTCATACACACTGCACCCCTCACACACACACTGCGCTCTTCACACACACACTGCGCTCTTCACACACACATTGCACCCCAAACACCACACAGCACACCAAACACACAATGCACCCCTCACACACACACTGCACCCCAAACACAACACCGCACCCAAAACACACAGTGCACCCTTCACAAACACACACACTGTACCCCTTACACACACACACACTGTACCCCACACACAAACACTGCACCACCCACACGCACACACTGCACCCTTCACACATAGTGCACCCTTCACACACACAATGAAACCCAAACACCACATTGCACCTCTCCACACACATGCACTCCTCACACAGACACACTGCACCCATCACACATAGTGCACCCTTCATATACACTGCACCCCTTACACACTGCGCTCTTCACACACACAGTGCACACCCTGCATCCCTCACACACAGGGCGCCCTTCACATGCAGTGCACCCTTCACATTCAGTGCATTCCTTACACACACTGCACCCCTACACACATTACATTCCAGACACACACTACATCCCTTATACACACACACTACATCCTATACATAACTATGGATCTTCTACATACACACACTAGAATCCCAATGCACACTCTGAACCCTTTATACACACACACACACACACACACACACAGACACACAATATCCTACGCACACTCTGAGTCCTCCACACACACTAGATCCCCTATGCAAACAATAGATCCCCTATAGGAATACACTGCACCACCTACACACACTACATTGATGGCATACACACTCTGGATGCCCTATGAACATATTAGATCCCCTGTAAGCAAACACACACTACTTTCCCTAAACACACACACTTTACAAACCCTACACACACTACATCATCTATACACACATACACGACAGCCCCTATGCACACACTCGCTACATCGCCTATACTCACACACTCACTCTCTCTCTACAGCCCCTAGCCATACATATTACACCACAAACACAACACAACGGAAACCGACATTTACACAAAACACCACACCACAATCAACTCACTCTACACACAAACAATCCCACAAGCAGACTCTAAACACATGTACAATATGCTGTCCTTACACTTTTGTCCTTTGGTATGCCATTTATGGAGACACCGGAGACATGTCACAAGCAAACACAGCACAAGCATGTTACTACATTTGCTTGTGCTGCGTAGAATAATAACAGGGCTTTTTTTTTTTTGCTAACTTTGAGAGGGGGCGTGCTTGTCATTGCTGGGCTGCTGTGATTCATAAATGCCTGGGCCATTAAGGTGGCATGTATAAATAGGGGTATTTATTCTTGGGATGAAATTTAATGTTGAGTCTTTATAAATCTATAAAATAGACCACACCTTGAATATGCTTTGCAATTTTGAGCACCTGTTCCAAAAAAGGATATTATGGCACTAGAAAAAGTACAGAGACAAGCTACAAAATGAACTAAAGGTATGGAGCATTTTATTTATGAAGAAATGTTAACAAATATAAATCTCTTTGGTTTGAAAAAATGGCGCCTCAGAGGGAATATGATAGCATCATACAAATATATTTGGGCCAATACAAACCATTTTCTGGAAATCTATTCATAAATGTGTGACCTTGTGTCCTATACATAGGACACAAGATCATACATTTAGACCGGAAGAAATTAGATTTAGTCTAAGGCAAAGGAAAGGTTTTTTTTAGGTGAGAACAATAAGGGTGTGGAATTATCTGCCCGAAGAAATGGTATCATCAAAGCCTATACAGATGTTTAACCCTTTAAGGACACATGACGTGTGAAATGTCATGATTCCCTTTTATTCCAGAAGTTTGGTCGTTAAGGGGTTAAATAGCAATTGGATAAATACTTGCAAAGACATAATATTCAGGGATATATATTTTTTCATTAGTGGGGTAATAGCTTCTTGATCCAAGCTGATATCAGACTGCCATTCTGGGGTCAAGAAGGAATTTTTTCCTAGTTTGTTGCAAAACTGCTTCAGCTGGGGTTTTTTTTTTTTTTGCCTTATTTTGAATCAACGGCAAAGGAAGATGTGAGAAAGGCTGAACTTGATGGATACATGTCTCTTTCCAGTTATGTAACTATGTACCTATGATTCTTGTATACAGACTCTAACAATGTTGTTTACTAAAGTGAGAATGGTCAGTAACACAAAGTGAATAAAAAGTGAATTTAAGGTAAAAATATTCAAACTGAAAATAGAATTGATTTGGAACATTTTATTAATTTGGCAGTTTTGTCCTAAATTTAGAAATTGAATGTAATGTCAGATGCTTCCAAGTACTGGTCAGAAATGGCACCAGTGCTGTTTCACCATAACTACAAATTCCTTAAATTTAATTTACTGCCATATATAATATTACTAGATATTAGTACATTTGTGAGCAGATTCTAAAAACCATCTATATCAGTCTGTTTCTGATTGTTTGACTGCTTTTGTAATAACCTTTCTGTGAATAGACAAGTAAAATAAGTTGAAACAGGAAATAAATATCATTCAGACTCATCCTTTGCAAAAGTATTTTTAATGTGTTGCTTAATTCCTCCATATTTTAGATTATTCACATTCCCCAATCTGCAATATAACTCAGTTGGTATGCAATAGGCACAGGGTATCTTAATATCACTATTTTGAGTTAAGGATTTTAAACCCCTTAAGTGTCATTGGATTGCTTTTCACCTGAATGAATGCCCCCCATGGCAAGTACAATTTCAGTGCATTAAAAGTAAATCACAACATATGAGGGGAATTCACCAAATGCTGATGTATGTCGGAATACAACAATAGCCAGGTTTATTTCCAATGTTTCCCGTAACAATAATTTAGCCTATAAAACATTGTATACACCCCAAAAATATACATTCTGTACTCCCATAAATAAATAAAAAAAACAATGTCCAAGGTTATGAACTAAAGTGTGAAGTGTTGGGAATTCAAAATTAATCCATATTGAATTGTACATTTTTGTCCAAAATAGTCAAATTAAAAACATGGCTGACTTGGAGAATTTGTTGTTGTTGACAATGAGATCTTAAAGGAACACTATAGTCACCTAAATTACTTTAGCTAAATAAAGCAGTTTTAGTTTATAGATCATTCCCCTGCAATTTCACTGCTCTATTCACTGTCATTTAGGAGTTAAATCACTTTGTTTCTGTTTATGCAGCCCTAGCCACACCTCCCCTGGCTATGATTGACAGAGCCTGCATGAAAAAAAAAACTGGTTTCCCTTTCAAACAGATGTAATTTACCTTAAATAATTGTATCTCAATCTCTAAATTGAACTTTAATCACATACAGGAGGCTCTTGCAGGGTCTAGCAAGCTATTAACATAGCAGGGGATAAGAAAATCTTAATTAAACAGAACTTGCAATAAAGAAAGCCTAAATAGGGCTCTCTGTACAGGAAGTGTTTATGGAAGGCTGTGCAAGTCACATGCAGGGAGGTGTGACTAGGGTTCATAAACAAAGGGATTTAACTCCTAAATGGCAGAGGATTGAGCAGTGAGGCTGCAGGGGCATGTTCTATACACCAAAACTGCTTCATTAAACTAAAGTTGTTCAGGTGACTATAGTGTCCCTTTAAACATACAACACAAGACAATGCATGTACAATCGCTAAACAGGTCTGATTTTACTCCTTTCCATGACAGTACTCATCAATGTTGTTTCTGGCTGCATAGCTATGCTTGTGGAAGATACATGATGTGATATCATATGAACGCTCATTTTAAGCTATGCAGCACCATGTGACCAGCACTTTAGTGATAAGGCTTGACACAGAAAGGAGCACAGCCAGATGTCTACTAGTTCCCTATTTCAGAAGAATGGGTAAAGACACACTAATTGGTGAGGACTGACATCAGAGAGGCAAGAAAAAAGACATGGAATGTCGGAAGAAGGTTGGAGACACAGGAGTAAGAAGAAAATGGAAAGGCAGACAAAGATAGGGGAACTTGAGATGGGGCATGGCTGAAAACACAAGTGGATGAACAGATAACACCTGCACTTCTCAGCCGAGTGCAACAATCACACAATTGGTGCTTCCAAGCAAATATTACATGGACAAAATTTCAGGACCTAGCTAGGCCTCCACTTCCAATGTAACAACCACAGTCTACTTGACCCTGGAATCACCAGAAGCCCATTTCCTACAGAAACCTCCACTGCCAAATTGACAGAACTTTGGGATCTTCTTAAACAGGTCCTGTCCAAATCTGCCAGAGATTTCATGTTAGCAAAATCCAAGAATTTGTTTAAAACAACGCTGATTGATATCAACAAGGACACCTGCAATTTGGATCACAAATTCTAAATCTGTATGGTAACGACAATCAATTAAGCCAAGAGCACACTAAATAACACTTTTAGATCACTATTTAGATAATGTGGACAACTCTGGCAGCATGCCCATGACAGAACACATAGGGTGCTTCAGCCTAAACCACAAGCCTGATCTCAAGACATTATTTGCAGGTTTCATTACTACTTGCTAAAAGTAAATAAATTAAGTAAAGCAAGACTATCACCTGCATTGACTTACTCAATCTATCATAATGGTGGTTGTATCATCGTGTCTCTAAGATTTTAACCTACCAAAAATTTACATCACAGATTGGTTTGGAGGCAAGGCATTTCTACCATGTCTGCCGACTACTTAATATCCCAGATGACAAATATAAACATGCAAATGTCAAAATCAATGTAACGATGCAGTAGCCCGCATCGGCCCCTTTCTTACAAAAGATGCTACCAAGGAGTTTGTCCATGCTCTAGTAATTTCCTGCATGGATTATTGGAACCCTTTTCTGATTGGTCTTCCCAAAAGCCGTATTGCCCCGCTACAGGCTGTAATGAATGCCGCCACCAGACTGATATTCCTCTCTAGTCAGTACTCTCACACCTCACCCCTCTGTCAGTCCTTACATTGGCTTCCTGTATCCTATAGGAGTCAATTCAAAGGGCTAACTCATACATATAAAGCACTGAACAATTCAAGCCTCTATTATCTCTCTTCACAGATCCATAGGTATACCCCCTCTCGTTCCCTCCGCTCGGCCTGTGACAACCTCCTAAACGCTGGTCGCACCCGTACATCCAACTTACGCTTGCAGGACTTCTCATGGGCGGCTCCCTTCCTATGGAATAGCCTGCCTACCCCATCAGACTCTCCCCTAGTCTTCAATCGTTTAAGAAGTGCCTCAAAACCCATCTTTTTAGGAAAGCTTATGGCCTCCCAGAGTAACCTCTACCTCACATACCTGTCTCTTGCTCTTTCCTATAGGGCAGCACTTTACTCTCTCCTCCAGCCCTGCTTCACTCCCGCCTTATTTGATTGCTATTTCCTATCCTAATGTGTTTTATACCCCACCTCCTATAGACTGTAAGCTCGTTTGAGCAGGGTCCTCTTCAACCTATTGTTCCTGCAAGTTTTCTTGTAATTGTCCTATTTATAGTTACATCCCCCTCTCATAATATTGTAAGACACTACGGAATCTGTTGGCGCTATATTAATGGCAATAATAATAATAGACTCAGCTATTTGACAAGAAAATTAACACCATATATTGGACACTCAATACACTCCTGAGACATTTTACATGATATCTCAACTGCAATATCTGCAGATAGGAGAACACTATACATTCTTCATGATGAACATATGCCTTCTCTGTATCTTTCTTCCCTATAGTTGGTTTATATTTTTTCTACTCTTTCTGCCCACCATTTCATTTTTACTTCTTAATGGGCCCCAGGTTTGAGAATTAAATGTCTTATCCAGTACTACCCACATATTAAAAATGTGGGACATTCTTTCCAGCTGCAATATAAAGTGAAACAAAAATGGACCCCACTTTTTATTAGTCTAGGTATGCATGTGAAGGTTATAACACAAACCTGATTTCCAGATGTGTTTGTTTTGTTTTTTTTTTTATAAATGCTTACTGTATTGATAGACAAATATTGCATTGCAAAGGTAATCCTTCATTAGGATATTTTAGCAACTATTCTAAAATTAAATCTGCAACGGTGGAAAATGTTATAGCTTTTTCTGTTTGTTAATGTCTCACACAAAGCCAACCCACATTGGTTCTTCATAATGATAAAAGGCAATATGTCAATTTATAGATGACTTTCTAACTTTTGGAAGGGTTGAAATATGGTCTTAGATTACTGTATAGACTCCACAGTCATAGACAGTCATTCCTTTTCCTCCCAACATCAAGCCTTTATTATATCAGCACAATAGGTCCACTGGTGGCGGAGTCAACACCCTATCCAGGGTTAATTTTTATGAGCTTCGAAATACTTTTTTTCTTTGCTATTGTTATATCTACCTATACTTTAAGTTATATTGCCTGGTAAGTGTTAACCCCAGCAATCGTCACTAAAAATCTGCAGATTACTACTTCCCCAAACCTTCAATGGAAGTTAAATAAATATTTGCTAACGAATAATCAAAACCAAGCAGAATTACTGAACAAAATGAACACTTATTTTTCTGACACTGATACACCAGAAACATCAAAAACACTGCTGTGGAAAGCTCATAAAATAAAGAGACTTTATGAATAAGAAAACAATGCTACAATCAACAAATTATTCAGAGAAATACAGAGACTAGGAAGTCTATTCAAAAACACTTGATCACTTTAAACTCTTCACAGACACCAGATAAGAACTCCTACAGCTACTGGAATACAAGTCACAGAGACAGTTATTGCTAGTTAAGCGATCCTATTATGTACATGGCTGGCAACAAATGTGAAAACTTTTAGCTAGAGCCTTCAAGCATCAAGCACCATATAGTAAAAAAATTGGCAATTACAGTACACCACAGGACAGATTACCAGTGCAAACCTCCATACCTTCCAAGTTCCACTGCCACAAAATGACAAATTTAGCAGTATTTAAAATCACACAGTCACTTGATAATTTGTGTTAAATTCTGGATAGTCCATTCACATACGGCTGAGGTCTCTCATCTCCAAATACACTATTATATCCTAACAATCATAATCCATACTGCACAGTACAAATACCTAGTTTTATAAAAAATAAAACAGACTACAAATTTACACCTAAGACAAGTGGTAAAGAAGACTGGGGTTCTCTCGCCTCTAGAATATATGACGTTTCCCAGAAAACCTAATGTTTTGGAAAAGTTTCAAATCCATCAACTGATACATTCTTGAATTCATGGAGCAATGAGCAATGTTAGAGATGTAATTCCTTTAAAAAACATATGCATATCGCCCTGTCTACCAGCTCACCTACTATCAAAAATACATACAATAATTCAAGACACTTCTACATCTGCTCTTCCTGGATTTCCTACAGCATGGTCCAGAGATCTTCCAATAGAGATGAGAGAGGCAGATTGGTCTAAAATATTTCTAACATCCCATAAATCTATACCAGATTTTAGGAAATTAATGAATTGCCAGATGGTACAAGACCCCATCAGTACTACATAGACTATAACCCAGTTATCCTAAGGAGTGCATGAGATAACTATCAAGTATAATGCCTCGTTGCATATTTGGTGGATCTTCCTTTAATTCAGAAATGTGGGCACAGATATTTATCAGTGATACATTCTAGTGCTGGTAAGCAAAACAAAAAAGTAAAGAAATGAAGAGAGAGATATGGAATTGGGAGTAATGTGGAGAGGTGGTGAACTTGGGGAAGGACAGAACACAAAGTTGAAGAAAATAAAGGGTGGAATTAAGAAAATACACTTATAAATATGAGTAAATGGAAACAAAGTAAAATAAATGAGAGGGAGAGTCATGAGTGGGAAGGTGGATAGCTGAAGAGAGAGATACATTAGTTGATGGGAGATGAAACACAGATAATTGGGGGTGAATGTGGAGACTCACAGGAGTAAAGCAGTGTAGAGGTCATAAATTGTGACTGATGTCAAGAAAAGCAAGAGTAATGAAAATTAAGAGCGATATGGACTTAGGGGTGAGAAAGACAAATAAGTGGAAGAAATGGTGATAAATAGGAGGAGAAAATGAAGAGAAGAGACACAACATGAAGGAGACATTAAGTAACAAATATGCTAAGGATGGAGAGAATACAACAAACACATAATATTTCAAACGTTGTTATTTTTGGCTAAGTTTTGTAATTTATGGTAAATATCAGTTCAATGAATGGTGAATATGGCCATCGGGACTGGACAGTGCTCATCAGTCTATAGAACAGGCATTAACATTTCACTTGGAAAGGGCAAGTGTACCCGCGGCAGTGGCTTGTGGTCAATGTACCAGGATATAGTGTATCATAAACAAGAAGGCTGCAGGTGGACATGCACACTCCCAAAGGTGTTTTAATCGTGTATGTGGGACATACACAAAAAAATCACCCTAATATTGTTAAAATGAGCAAGTTCGTACAAAAAACAGGTGAAGTTTACCAGAAAGTGGATATGTTTACATCCTAGATAGCCATGTGAAGGAGTAGAAAAAAATGCCACTGCAGTCAAGTGTCACATTAGTAATCGAGACAGCTACCCATAACACTGTTCAACATCAGCATTTAGCTCCACCCCTACATACATAGATCATCATGTCCTTCTATTTCCTTGTCTCAGTGCCGTATTATACAAAAACACATTTAGCAACAAGCAATAAAAGCCAAACCTCTGTGATTTTTGCTGTATGTGTTGACCGCAACCCCAATTATTCAATTCCAAAGCCTGCTTGCTCGCACTTAGAATTATGGGATTTGAGGTCTTCAACAGCTAGAGGCTGAGAGGTTGCCAAATCTTGGAGACAAAGTTGATATGATCTTCTAATTACATGATGCTGTATTTTTACAGTTATAGTAAATGTAAAAAATTTAAAGAGCAACAGTTGTGTGTTTTTACCTCTATATATGTGCGTGTGTATAAATATAGGTATGTATATGTCCTGATTAAAATCCATTAAATTAACTGAGACTTTGACTTCATGGGTTTATGTTACATTAAAGAAGAAAAGTATTTTTGGAAAGACCCAGAGTGTTGGCTTAATTTAGATGATCTACTTGGAGTGTTGCAGAGCACCAGATTCAAATCTACAGGATTTAAAGGTTGGAGTGCAGGACTGATAGTAGTTCATTTTATTTATATATATACATACACCAAGTCAAATGCATAATATTAGATTATTAACATCAATATCATTATGTGATAAACTGGTGAATGTACCTGTGATGTATGTTACCGTACCTCTACGCTGCCATGCGCCATCTTAAATGCATGGGGTCTTTCAGGTATTTTTTCGTTTCCTCACTTTCGATTCACATTAGACATGTATAATCGTAATGCTATTACTATACAACCTTTAAGCGCAAGTTGTTAAAGAGCTCGATGGAGTGAAATTAAATACATTTATTTATCAGTATAATCCCTGTGATAAGCCTATCGCACTTGCTGGAGGCAGTCGTTTTAATTTATTGCACAGATCATCCATCTACAGACCAAGTTGCCTAATGTGAGAATATCTTATAATTTTGTTAAAGTTTATTCCCACGCCATAGAAAGCAGAGGACCTCCATTTAAAACACCCCCATAATCATCATAGCCACTTGTCTTGCAATTAGAGGTTTAATGATGTCCATTATTGGGGTTGTGGGGGGGGGGAGGGGGCATTTATCTACACTAGTGAAACTCTGGCCCATGGAGGACATTTATATAGTTACTAATTGCTAAAGGCGATGTTTAGTTCTTTAACTTGTATTCTGAGAGAGTAGATGTCTGTAAGTGCTTTATTTTATACATGTGCTTCTAGTCATTGTAGAAAAACCATATGATAGCAAGCATGGTGTATTTATTGTGAGCTGATCCCTATATCATTAAAAACGTTAAAGTACTATTATGCTTGTTACTTTAAATAACTGTGTGTTCCAAAGAGGAGTGAATGCCAAATACATAATCTTTTAACTGTTTTAACAAAGTCCATTTAGCCTGCATTTCATGTAGATACAAATTGTCTATCGCCCTGTTCTGTACATAAACAAAAAGAGAAGGGTTTTTAAAAAAACTTTTTTAATCTGATCAGCATTTCTACCAGTTTTACGATACGCATGGCCAATCCTTCAGCAATAATGGCCCTTCTTCATCTATATTAGGCTTTTACGTCTGTTGAATAAAGTGATATAATAGCACCATGGCCATGTTTCATTTAATACACTTCGGGACAAAGAAGGTACTTGTGTCCTTTTAAAAAACAAACCAAAAAAACTACATTTATTTAGTCACATACGTTCTTGCTAAAATCTTAAAGAAATATTTTAGCGTAGACAAGTATCTATTCAGTCTCCTCATTTGTTTAATCTTTCCATGGTGACAACACAAAATACATTAAATTGTAAGCTCTGTGGGCAACAGGTCTCTCTGTTTCCATAATGTCTTGCTCTCTTTTATTTTTATACTTTTTTTTAAAAAAACGTTAACACAAAAATATGACTAATTGCTAACAGTTATGGCCATGTCCTATAATTTTTATGAGACCCACACAGTCTCAAATATTTGAGACTTTTATGAACATGATTACAACATGATAATATTATTCAGTGAACACCGGCAAAATTATCTGTCCAATGCTTTTTTGGGCTCCAACAGGACACAGCGTTAGGCTGTGATCATTTTGCGTCTTCATAAGAGCAAGTCAATTTGCATTGTTTTTTTTTCCGCTGATGATGTCCCTGTGATGCTGTATTGCCAAATAATGGTCATTCGCTTGTGCTTCAATGAAATGACCAATATCACAATTTTTTACTACATCCGTGAAACATATAATGACAGTAAACCATTCACACCCTTTCCCGCTGACATTGAAACTTTCTTTTTTTCTTCTTTCAAACAGACTTTCCCACGTTATATCAAAGGGTGTGCAATGCAGCAGCAGTTAATCTATATTCAGTCTCAATATAATGGAAGCTTATGCATGTAGGTTTGTATTTAAAAAAGTGGAAGAATACAATAAAGGTTAGGATTTGAAATAAAATATGTGCAAACCTAACAAACGTTTACTAAAATATCTCTACGAAGTTTGAAGCCAAGCTGAATATTTAGCAAACGCACTACATTTTATTGTAATTTTTTTTCTAAAAAGAAAATTATATTAATTTAATTTTCTTTACAATCCCAATTATACAACTCATGGCTGTATCAGGAATTAAAATGATTTTGTAGAATTGTATAAAAATACAGGTTTCGCTAGATTGTCCTAGTTTTTTTTTTTTTTTTTCAACTTCCGTCTTTCTCTCCCCAATTAATGGGTGATTATTTTTAAAGGTGATTATCAGAACCCATGGTCTGTGGAATGGCTTCATGGTATTTATAAACTGTTTGAATCTTCAGTGCATGGTTTATACTATGTGAGTCCTCTGAAATGCTTGTAGTTCAGATGATCAGTCAAGTCAAATGACACATTTTTTACTGTATCGGGGCCTGTACAAAGGGCCCTGTATTCGTCAGACTGGCCATCCATGTTCCAGATGGGATGAGTCAATAGGTGCCATGTCAGGCTGTAGAGGTAAAATGGCAGAGGACTCTAAGTAGAATTTTACATTTTATTTTATTAGTATAACCAATGTTGTATACTGTCCCTTTATGCTTGTAGCTTACAAATATTTAGACTCTCTTTTTAAAAATTGTGCACAAAAATCAAAAATTATTTCTCTGCCATATTATGTGTCTATAAACTGTAATTCATGACATTATATGATCATTCTTTCACAGCATCTGTAAGGCATCTGTCTGTCCCATCACTGCATTCCAACTTTGTCTTCCTGGCCTTTTTTGGCTCAATCCAAGAGTTGTGTATGACAGTACCCCCAGGTGCAGGATCTACCTGCAAAACTGATACTACCCTTTTCTTCATCTTGTTCTTTAGAACATTGCGTAACTTCTGACGAGTGAATGCGTACAGGAGAGGGTGGAAGATTGTTGTGCCATAGGCCATGGTGATGAAACAGATGCGCATTTTCACCAATAGGTCACTGGGCCCCACACAAAGAATAAGAAGGTTCACAATGGATATAGGAGCCCAGCAAAGCAAAAAGGTGGTGATGATAATGAGAGACATCCTAAAGACACGTTTCTGGCGCTCTCTACGGTCCCTGTGTCGTTTCACAGCCCTTCTCAATGCAATGATAACAGAGACGGAGGCCTGTACCCTCATAGGGGGGTTCTGAACCACCGCCGGAGGTGCCAATCTTTTGGTCTCTGCCATATTGCTTTGATCTGATGCTTTCCTTTTCTTCTTTTTCTTGGTTTTCCGGCGTTGGCTTCTTTTAAAATGGTTTCCAATCTTTATGTTGAGCGCTTGGAGGATTTTCGAATAGGTGACTAGCATAACGGCCACAGCTGCAAAGAAGATGGGAATCTGGATAACAAGATGGTAGTACATCCCCAGTTCTGTATGATACTCATTCACACTGACACAGAGCAAAGTCCGGTTTTGCCACGTAGCCATGTGATCAGGATCACCAAAAAACTCCACCTCAAAGAATGGTATGAAGAAAACCATGAGAGAGACAAACCAGACACAGGACAAAAGCATCATCATTCTGCTAGGGGTAAGGACTCGGTTGGCTGGTCTAACTGAGATATCATACCTATCCAAACTGATGACCAGGACATTGATGGCTGTTGCGATGCTGCTGAATGTCACACACGCCTCATGGAAGCAGCACACCAGAGCTATGTTTTGCTCTAGTGGGATGAGTATGATGACTATGGTCAAAGGCACACAGATGACACAGATAATAATATCCAGAATATGGAGGTTCATTGTCACCATGTTGCTGACCGAGTCCACCAGATTTGACTGCATGCAGTAGAGAACAAGTACTGTCAGGTTGCTGCTAAAGCCCAGAACAATCTCCAACATGAGGAAGCTAGCAAGGGAAACCTGGAAGCCCAATGGGTAGGGGAAGTACCAACCAGCATCAGAGCTGGATCCATCATTAGTTTCCAAGATGGCATCGTACATATCTGTCTCCTTGGCTGACACCATCCTGGGGTTGTCTGCATAGTCCTACAAATGAGGAATTTCTTCTGTGGTTCTCCCTAAAAAAACAAACATACAGAGAAAACAGGTTAGCATGCAAATGATGACGTCTGGCAATATGCACAAATTGCATCCTTGTAAATATACCTGATCTATGTTATAACAGTTTCTTAGATGTTTCAGGTGGAAAGTGGAATTAAATTGCAATAAGATCAAAGTGCAACAAAAATGCAGTTTTTTATAAAGGGATAGATGACATTGTCAGTTTCTAAGTATGCATTGTTATACACACAGCAATTGTGTATCAGTATGCAATAAAGGACACTATTAAAAAATCCTCCATTGTAGTTGTTATGGTGTTAGGAGGTCCCAGGCATTATCTTACCAGAAGTGGTTAAGCCATTAACCAATGGTTTAACCCCAAACTTTGTATTCCTTACACTATAGTATTCCTTTAAATAGTGTATAAACACAAGAACCGAAAGCTTTCTTGGGATTGATCACTATGGCAAACACATTCTTTTTCAGTACATTCTATAGACCTAGCATTTAATATGAATAGGGGTATATTATGTAAGTGGTGGTCCCATTCACTTTCTCCTTGTTTTCCTTTTTATTTAATTTTTCTCTTATAATTAAAGGGATACCATTGGCAATTAAGCAGTTTGACTGCATGGGGCATGATCTTTACATAAAAACTACTTCATTAAACTAAAGTTGATTTAGTGCCTATAGTATCCCTTTAATGTGTTTGTGGGTTATGGCCAGCATTGGGGAGCTCCTTTAATTTATTTTATTTTTAAAGTCTTATTAATACATACTGACACTACGAACACTTTTACACACACACACTGCTACAAGCACAATACACAAACTGACACACATAGAAATACATACAGACAGACATGCACTCAGACATTTACACCCACTGATACACATGCACTTACTATGCACACACACTCACTCTTAATGTATGTGTATATAAAACAATTTCTATCTTATTTAAAAGTCCAAGTACTTTTTAAAATTAGTTTGGAAGAGGCGATTGGGGGTTGCTTGAGAATTTGATAATACAGGCACTCGTGATGTAAATCTGGCACTGTTCTGACATGAATAATTTCTGTAATGAATATATTCTGTTATGAGCATAGTCTGGGTTTTGGCAAATTCATAATGAGTATGTATTTAATGTAAGATTAGTGAGTAGGTGGGTAAAAATTAATTAGAGTATGATTAATGCAGCCGCTTTATTCTTAAACCCACGTTTTTGTGCACAAACTAATCTTCAAGGACAAACACTTTAATCACTAGGATGCAGTACTTATAAGCAATCAAAAAGGCTTGCAACACCTATAAACTGTTCACAGTATTCAATTAAAGAGAACCTGTCACTTTTCAATTTAGATTCAATTTCATTGAAATTCCAGCATAATCAAAATAAATCCACAAGTACAAACTAGTAAAGGACTTTGAGGATAATTCACTGAATATGTTGCGATTATATCTGAGTTGGAGTATTTTTCAAAATCAGCTATTATTAAAGGGAAACTATAGAAACCAAAACAACATTAGTTTAATAAAGCAGTTTTGGTGTGTAGAT